ATACACGACTCGCATATATTTATTATTATTATTCATGAAAAAATAAAATAAACGATGTTTTAACAAAAGTTTAGTTTCTTTTAGGCACAAACACAGTATTTTAAATAATTTGACTGTTCGCACATAAGGTTAAATTAACTACATCCTGTTAGTGGGTACTCTATCTTACAGATAACACTGTGTTACAGATATTAATTTCACATGGGAAATGAACAGGAGAGATATAGAATTTATAACCGTGAAACGCATGACCCGAAAAAGTTGATAACGAAACTCGATCATGACAAATAAAAGTAGAGCATTCCTGTGAATAACCCTTGTGTCAACATGAAGCTTTTTTTTGGGTCGTTGCTCTTGTCCTGCTTCTTCTTTAGGTAAGAATTTTTGCACATTTTACCATGATTCGGCGAGGTTTCTATCTAGTAACTTATCTTTATGTAAGAATTTGAGTATGTATGTAGTTGTCCTTACATTTTTTTAAATAGTGGTCAAACGTTGCTTAGTATTTAGCGTGGTTTACGTCCCCTTACCACTAAAATATCAGAATATGGGTGTGTTACAAATAATAGTAAAATCCAACTATTTCATTAGAGTAGCCTAAGTGTTGTCGGAGGATGCTGTTGACTAGTCTCCTTCCCTCTAGTTATCAGTTCATATATCTCTTGTGTAGTTTTACTTGAAACAAAACAAACTACATCTTTTTCAGTAAGATTTCATTTTTGCACGCATTTTATAAATATTCACTGAAAAACAGCGTTTTTATTAACGAGCAATACTTAAAACGTTTAATGGATTTTTCTCCTGCAAATTATAAAATTTATAATTAAGTAATTAATGATTTTTATTATTTATTTCCAGAGAATTCATCTAAATATGATAAAGTAAGTAATAATGTGAACCCTTCCAGTAGCCTCATTACAAGTATTATATTATGCAAGTTTGTCTTATAAAATAAAGAAAACGTTCATTCCTCGAATGACAAACTGAAATTTTTACAACTTGAGATGTATGAAAAGATATACATATCATTATTTTTTTCGGTGAACTGAAAGTATGTAGATAGTTGTATTTTAATCGGCATGGCCAGGTGGATAAGGCGCTCGACTCGCAATCTGAGGGTCGCGGTTTCGAATCCCCTTCTCAACAAAATGTTCGACCTTTTAGCCGTGGGGCGTTATAATGTGACGATCAATCCCACTATTCGTTGGTAAAAGAGTAGCCTAATCAGCTTCAGAAATGTGTTCAATTTTATGTTGTTGCTTTCAAAACATTGTTGCATTTATTTTCTAGTAATAAAAATCTGTCAATTTTTCCCAGTTTCTAGGCTAAATTAAATAATACTTTAGAGAGTAGTTATAACGTAAATGTCAAATCAGGTACTCTATTGATGTTTCTAGAGATTTTGAAATATTTCACATTTTTTGTATAATCTTTAGGAGTATTTCGCCAAATCTGTGACGCAAATGATGGACAATTTTAAGAACGACTACTCTCTCTTGAACCATATTTTATGTATTTGCATTCACACAGAACCTCATAGAGAACGTTAGTTTCATTTGTAGCCTCTGGGTAAAATCTGTTTTCTAAACTATACTTGTTGTTAAGCGCAAAGCTACGTAATAGGCTAGCGAAACACGATTTTTGGCGTTACAATTCCACCGTGGGGCCTCTAAGCCGTTGTTTACCAAATGTGCACGAGATTCACAATTAAATATCCACAAAATAAAGCTGCTTATAACACCAAAAGCTGTACAAGATCATAAATAAATGCTTACAAACCCTTATTGCTAACATAAATGTATTATGGGTGTTATTATAACGTATCCGTTAATGAGTCCGAAAGTGCTAGAAATATCACTCCTAAATAATTGAAATATGATAAGTTGGTAAGTGCTAGAAATATTACCAGCAATCACCCTGAACTGAAAGCCTAAACCACTTTAAATGAACTGACCACCGTTTTCTATTAGATGAAGTTGGAAACGTGCCCTTTCGTTTCACTTGACCACATCTAACGCTGTGCTGAAACGTAATAATCTATACCTAAATCGACCCTAGCTACCATTATTTGTATAAAAAAACGCCTCCCCAATTACTACCGACGCAGGAATGAATCTTTACTGAAATATTTTATACAGTTATATCGGTTAGGATTAACATGTTTTAGTCATAAGGAATCATATATTGTAATTATTTTTACAGCACACAGGCAGTTTCATGTAAGTGCTTAAGCTACGCGATGAAAGACAGTAAACCCAAGGAATTGATAGCAGAGTTTGTATACCCTGTAGATCTGGACTGTGGTGATTGGACGGGAGAATTCGAATGCAACGACTTCTGTTTCGATCTGGTAATACATATATATATACGTGTTGTTATTTTTAGAATAAACCAATCAACTAATAATTCGTTCATGGTTTTAACCATTTATATAATAGCATTCAAATAGTACACCATGTTTATTGCTGGGAACCGATTCTGAACTTTTAGACCAGATATTTATAATAAGACAATTTTCAGGTTTCGCTGAAGATGGAATAAGTTATTCCGAAACGTTCGAACCTTGTAAATATAATGTTTTATCAACCGTCTTCATCTTCACGATTAAACTTCGGTTTCTCCATCATGAATCCATTGTTCGATATTTATAAGTTATATCTAGAATTAAGACTTATCACATCTCGTTAAAAATAATACTTTATGAAGTTAATGTTCGTTTATTAGTTGTTGTTTTTATCATTAGTCGTAAATTTAAATGAATAAGGTGATAGACGGAAGATTTGATGAAAGTTTGTTGCATTGTTCTTACAGTTTACAGAGATCACGAACAATGGTGATCTAGAAAGTATACCACCAGGCGAAGGAGAGACTTCGGTAGGACAGCAGGCATGTGACACAATACAGAAGGATGTTGAGAATGTTCGTATCGGTATCTTTTCCAAAGCATGTGGTGGCGATATTTTGGACACTGGTCTTAGATCCTTACAAAATCTGTGTTGTAAAGAAGGCCAGTTTCAGTCTTGTTAAAATTACCTAACTGGTAACTTTTCTTTGGCAATAATAAAAGTTTTAAATGCCTCATATCCATACGTGTCTTCGTAGCGTACTTTTGAAAGAGGTTGTATGCGTGTGTTTCACGTTGTGCCAATAAGGCAATAAAAAAATTCATTAGTGACGCAGAAATAAAATACCAAAGATACTTGACTAATGTACAGTTGAAAGTTATATTTTTGTAATGAAAGGTTAGCCTTTATATAAAGGTTCTTCAAATTATATAATAAATATTTAAAAGGAGAAAAACATAACTTTCTAAATACGGAAGTTAAAAATTACAATTTTACACATACATATATGAAAATATTTACGTTTTATAGTCAATGATGCGTTATTGTACAAATCATTAATCAAGGTATACCGCTTAGTCAACTAATATTACTATTGCATCAAAAAGATTCAATGTACAGAGCTCAAAATTTTCATAAATGTTAGTGATATAACCTGAAATGTTTTTATATATTCAAAGTGCTACCATTTGTTGAAAAATGCGTTTTTTTTAAGAATTCCAGTTTTATTACTACACTTAAAAATGATATCAATATAGATATAATCAAATCCTCACGTACAGTTCTAGTGAAAGTCGTGTTCTTGTTGTGAGTAGAGTACTTTCATTTAGATTTGTGTTATATTATAAAGACATGGTTGTCGAACATACCATAGTTATTTTTCTAATTGTCTGAATCCTGAATACCCAAAGTGTGATATTTTTGTGGATATTCGTTTGTGTTGCCATTCAATATATGGCGCTATATTTCATAAGCCACAATCACAACTTCTGGCACTGAGATCCTGTTCTATTTCAGCAAAACTGATGGCAGCATTGTATCTATTATTTCGGTAACAATATTGTTGCGTCAGCGAGTCACATGACTACTGTGACGACACGTTTCTAGAACTATCCTGTACTTTGGCGAATGCTCTAGTATTTGCTAGATATAGGGTAGTCGGGTATATATAAGAGGGTGACAAAGTGACGCGGGAATGAAATGTAATGTGTGTGTA